CGTTAAATCTCCTTCTTCCGGATCTCCGCTCACTTACGAACCGCCAGGAAATGTTTTGCGGCAATCGTGACCGCACCTTGCAAGGGGCGCGTTGTTTTGACAAACATCTTTGATTGTGGTCTTTAACGTCTGAGTCCGTAATATCATCAAAAACGTTAAAGGTATGCTTGGAAATTGTTAACATCATATCCCGAACTTCTGTGCGCCAACTGACTCAAGTAAAAAAGGAGCACCATCTAAGCTTAAAGACAAAACGACACCGATATATCATATGTGCAAACGGTGACCTCAGATTGTTATTAGTCGTCTTACACAGGTGGAATATTTGTAAATTGAAGATGGCCCGAAAGATGTGAAGGAAAAAGGATTGAACCGAATTTACATTCACAAGTTTCCCGCGGGAAACATATCTTTTACGGCCGCAAATCATTTGGACATTGGCTCAACATCGAAGGGCTAAAGTGACTTGCTCATTGTGGGAAACCCACAACCTGCCTCGTCAGCAGTTTGCCATCTTTTGGACGTTTAAAGAGTAGCTATATGGAAAAACGCGATCTGGTGACGGGATTGACAAAAATTTATCCTCGAAACGAAGACGAGTGAAGCACGAAGACTAGTTAAGTAAAGAATGACGAGAACGACGCCTAGATGCTGGGCTAGGGGAACGAAACATGACGTCTGCATAACCGTATGGTATGTCACATACCTCTTCCCAAAACGTCCTAATTTCAGGCAGTTACCAGTCCAAGCACGGCCCACACCGCAAAAATGGGCGGCGGAAACGATTATTTACTTCCGTTATTCATTGTGATGCCCTTCATTGCGTGGTTGCCGCTCCTACTTCAGTAGAGAAGTACTTACATTGCATGCATGCGGTCTTGTGTAATGAACACTGTTTTGTCATTCAACATTCTAAAGGAGAAGTGAGTTTACCGTAGCTATTCAATCTCATGAAAGGTTAATCGAAATTTCGGAATGTGTTTTCGATTAGAAATGTAACTTAAGCATGCTTTTAATATGATTCCTCGATCAGTCTAATCCCAAAGATATTTCAGTCACGCTAGGACGCAGGCTTTTGAATGAACTTCTTCCCGGCCGTGCGAAAAACTGCACTTTTGGCGCTTTAATCCGGGTCTAGTTGACACTTCGGAGTTGACACTTCCATATCATGCTCTGTTGGATGCGATCAACTGCATCAACTTCATGCTGGAGACGGTTGCCATGCTTGGCTAGCGAAAAGAGGCGGACATCTACGACATCCAATAACAGATAGCTTATTTAGTCTGCCGGTGTTGTTTCAGTCTACAGATTATTTTATTATTTGGCCAATTGAACAATAATAATTGAAATCTCGGACGAAGATGATTTCCCTCCTCTGCGACGTTGTAAAAAGTCGGATGTAATTGTGAAGATTTGGTTAGAATAAAAAACTGCGATATATGAAATCCGCCAATGATGACACAGTAAGCTGACTGTCCAAGTAGGAGTTCCCAAAAAATTAACCTGATCTGGTAGTCATCTGGTGGATTCTGAGCTGATTGCTTAGGAAATCCTGCTTGAGCAGTCAGCCTGCTATACCAGAATTGGTGGATTCCATATGTTGCAGTAGGCGGGGCTAACTTAAGCATGGTTTTAATATTATTTCTCGACCGGTCTAATCCCAAAGATATTTCAGTCACGCTAGGACGCAGGCTTTTGAATAAACTTCCTTCCGGCCGTGCGAAAAAACTTCACTCCAGACGTTGTAATCCGGGTATAGTTAACAGTTTTCTATTTTGTGCTCTGTCGGATGCGATCAACTACAGAAACTTCATTTTGGAGACGGTAATCATGCTTGGTTAGCAAAAATAGGCCAGCATCGAACACAATCAATAAGAAGTAGCTTATTCCGTCTGCCGGTGTTGTTTTAATCCACTGATTATTTGATTATTTAACTAACTGAACAATAATAACTGAAATCTCGGACGAAGATGATTTCCTTCCTCTTCGAGGTAGTAAAATGTCAGATTTAATTGTTAAAATCCGGTTAGAATAAAAAAAACTGAGACATATGAAATCGGCCAATTATGACACAGTAAGCTGACTGTCCAAGTAGGATTTCGCAAACAGTTAACCTGACCTGGTAGTCATCTGGTGGATTCTGGGCTGATTGCTATTGAAATCCTGCTTGAGCAGTCGACCTGCTATACCAGAATTAGTGGATTCCATAAGTTGCGGTAGGCGGAGCGGGTAACTCGACCCGAATGCGATTAAACTCACAGCTGCGGGTGCGGCCTCGTAGCTCGGGTGGTTATAGCGTTGGCCGTAGTCAAGCTTTGTCCTTGCTCTTGTGGGTTTCAATCTCACCGTGGCCTCCACATTTTTCACTGATGGGCCAACTGAATTCGGAATTCTTAAATATTGTTGGGTTTGACCTACACACTGTTCTCGTCTGCAGAACACAAGAGTACCTTGTATTATTTGTTAGTCGTCGCAACCAACTACCGCAGTTCATTCCTGTCGGAGAATAGTGCACTTAGTATATTTAACTGGGGACATCTTCCACTATCAGCCGTAAGCAGGAGGTATCTGGGTGAGTAAATGTTCGAAAGCGTCTTACACCCGTCAACAACCGAAACACCATTTAACTCGAGGAAACGAAGCTATGGGGCATTACGTGGTTGAAATGGGGCATAGTTAATATAGAAGGTTTCCTAAGAGGAAATATAAAGTCGTTGAATATGACCACAGCAAGTCAGAATCTCTTGAATTGTCCTTTCACTGAAGCTGTCCATAGCGATAATACACAATTCTTTCATTGCCGGAAAGAGAATCAAGTAGGTGAAAATATTCTTCGCGGATGGAGGGAGATGCCGTCCCACCAGATCACCGCCGGCAATCACTGTCGTCTTTCGAAGTCCAAGTAGAAACGTACGACTCCACAGCTTTTTTACCTCTCCCGAAATTGATAGTTAAGTTGGAGTAAATCATTCTATTGGGGACTTATGAACGTAGGCTGATACGAGTACTTAGGACGAAGTTCATCATCCACAGCGGAATATCCGCGCAATACTCACAAACTGCCAACCGGCAGTCAGTAGTATATGTATAGGTTGCACTGCATACAATACTTGACAGCACAGGTACTAGCTAAAAGCCCAGACACGCGTGTTTCGCCGATATTCTGCCGCTGTATGACACAGCTTCTAGAGATTCGGCTCATCAGTGGTCCCCCAGCGTCCCTGTAATCCTTTCGGCAGAAACCCCAGATTTTAAGTTGCGGTTTCTTAATTTCCTCAGAAATTAATGGCTAACTTGGAGTTAATCAGCCTATTTGAGACTTGTCGACTCAGACTGAAATTTGGTATGGACAGATTTACCGATTTAAATCAAGGTAGCGGTTACTTTCTGGGGAAATTAGAGAGCTGCAATTTTAAAAGTGGATTACCTACCCAAAGTGCTGACTCCATCTGTTGTCGCTGGTTGTGCCACAGACACAGACACGGACGACACTCATGTCATGGGAAACCGCATAATCGTACCTGTCCAAGTAGGATTTCTCAAACAGTTAACCTGACCTGGTAGTCATCTGGTGGATTCTGAGCTGAATGCTAAGGAAATCCTGCTTGAGCAGTCGGCCTGCTCTACCAGAATTAGTGAATTCCATAAGTTGCGGTAGGCGGAGCAGGTGACTCGACCCAGAGTTGCGACAGGCGTTCGGAGTGGGGCAAATGCATTTCCTTCTATCTTCGAGGTTGTGGAATGTTAGTCGTAATGGTGGAGCGTTTTGCAAAAGTGAAGGCTCATCATCTCAAACGATGATGACCGCTGTTCGTCCCTCAGCATGGTGGGCGTGACCTCTGACACACCCTTTCCTGCCTCATCCACCAGCGGCCGGTGGCAGGACGAACGGAGGCGGGTTCAGACTCAGTGGCTGGCAAAGCGAAGCAGCTCGTCTGCGCGTGCCATCCGCGATCTGGTCTGCGCATTACGGGTCAAGTTTTCACGTGATCAAGAAGTTGACGGCCCGGGTGCTGGCTTAGCGAAAACGCCACATTAAGCAGTCCCTTCAGTCCGACTCCCGTCCTCAGACGAAGATTGAGTTATCCCGTTACCTGGCAAACTTCAAGGCTACAACTTCCATCGCACCGTAACAGTTTTAAGCGCATCAAACTTACTATAGTGAGTAAGGCGCTGAATATCCGTGTGGATGGATTCCTTGCCATGTGCAACCGCCCACTGTCCGACCCGACGAGCCGTCTGCCGGTGGGATTGGGCTCAAGTGATTGACAGAATTCAGTAGCATGTGTACGTGTACCACATACGACCTGGCTCCACGCCGTCACAAGGCTTTCACACAAAGGAATGGGCGGACCGCATCTCACCTGTGTGAGAGTGCCATAGAGGTCACATGGATAGGAGCCGCTCTATCCTGACTCTCAGTGCATCATCCAGCCACTCTCATGCACACAGGGCTGACTGTGGTGTCTGAGCTAGACCTTCAGTTGTCAAACTTCAAAGCCGCTATTTTTGATGCGTCGTGATAGACTCAAGCGCGCCAGATTTATTATAGTGAGTAATGCGCTGAGGTGACACTTTGACCCGAATCTCTATGTCGGCGCCGCTCTCTCTGACATCTACCGCATACCAGTCATTTTTCCGAGCCTGTCAACCAGTTAGCCTTAGGACTGGGCTTGATGGCTGACAGAACCGCGGAAGTATGTCCACGCACGGATTGGTCGGGCAACAGACTGCCCCAGGGAAGAGGCACTCGAACTGCGACAGAGGTGCCTATTCTGTGCTTGCAGTCAGTGATGTGGAACGGGTTTGTGTGGGGTGTCTGGGCTGGTTGGGAGATTCACGGTGATAGAATTCTAACTAAGGCACTTTTCCGCATACTTACGTGGAAACGCATATGGCCAAGTAGGTCCACGCGGTGATTGGATGTAAATGGGCAGTGTAGGCAGTTGAGGCGGATACAGCGGCTGTACGCTGGTGCTCCTGACACGGATGTGCCAGTCTCAGTACGATGGATTGGCAGGGCCGATGTGTGATGTGAAGGTGTGTACGCAATGTGGACAGGTTGGGATCGAGTCTGCTGTGCTGGTGCTTGGTAGAATGGTGGTGGGGTTGGTGGTGGTGCCGGCGGCGGCGGCGACGGCGTCGGTGGGGACGGATTGCAGGGCATCGCGAGTGTTCTCACCGGTGGTGGGGATGGGAACGGTGGCGGAAGTTGTGGCAGTAATGATGGATGAGGAGGCTGGGCGTCGGAAGCCGCGTCCATTCATTCAAATCAGTGCATAATAATAACACGGAAGGCTACTTGCAAGTTTGTTTCTCATAATAAAACTAGGGCTTGTATAGAAAACGCTTATGAACTTGTTGAAATTCACTCCAAAATATGTCGTAAAGCTCTGGATAGGCATCACTAAGGCTGTCAAAGAAGGAAGTGCGGTGTTTAACAATTTCTAGATCTGTAGCACTGCTCCCGTCTGCATGACATAAGAGGGTCTTGCGGTGTTTGTTGAAAACTACAACCAACCACCGCAATTCAGACCTGTCGGAGAAGAAAGCTTTCAAAGTTTTATCGAACGGATATCCTCCACGATCAACCCTAAGCAGGATGTATCTGGGCGAGTGAAGTTTCGAAAGTGTTTCCTTCAATAGAATTTCAAAACGATCCTTCACATAAAATCTATTTAAATCCATGAAGAGCAGCTCGAGGGCATTATGCGACGGAAGCGAAGCAAAGTCACAGGTAAGATTCCTCAGGGAGAATATGTAGAGACGCCGAAGATGACCACAGGTAGTCAGAATTTCTGGAATAATCCGTTCACTGAAGATGTCTATGGCAATAAGACGAACTTCCTTCAGCGCCGGAAAGAGACCCAAGTAGGTGGAAATATTCTTCGCGGATGGACGGAGTTGTCGCTCGACCAGATCACCACCGGCAATCACAGTAGCCTTTCGAACATTTAAGCACTTGTTCTGCAGTCGGAGAAGCCGCCTTGTTGTCAGCACATCGGAGCAACAGGCTGTAATGAGCTCAGCGGACACTTCCAGAGATTGAAGATTTGGACCACACTTCTCAATGATTGGGAGGAAACAATCTCTCGCGAGAGACGGCATCTCCTGGATGTATTTGCCTTTACGCGCATCATTTCCAGGCTTGCACAAACGAATGCATAGACGACGGATTTCAGAGCATCGACGCTGAATTAGGGCTTCCACACTACCCCTTACTGGTGCTTGCCATCTACTTACCGAGGACGCACGGGAGGGAGAATAATTCGTCACAGTTGTAGATGAGCTCGTTCCAGGAGGACGTATATGAATGTACAAGTCATGTAGGTTGGTGGGATGAAGGAGGCAGTTGTCCTCGACAGTCATGAGAGAACAGGCAACGAAGTTCACTGGAGCCTCATCGTCATGATCAGAGTCAGTTGATGGGCATTGCAGGTTGGGCATGTAGCATCTGTCCTTAGCGCTGACACAGGCTCTGCAAAATTGGAGGGTATGGAACTGTGGTTTTTTAGGAGTATGATATTTGACAATCCTGGGTATCACGGAGAAGTCTGTAATGTACCTCTTTGGAAAGAAGTGGCCTGGCTCTGTCAATAGGGTCAATTCTGAGAGTTCATAATCAGACCTATTTTCACCCAGGAACAAATCGAGTAGTTCTGATTTGTGGTGAATCTGAAGGGAGGTCCATTGTGGAATGCGATTCTGATAACTTTCCCAGTCTCTGCGCCAGCCGATACTCCAGCATCGATCCATTTGTGAGTCGTCCAGAGAAAGGCTGCGCAAGTCGCCAAAGCTCTGGATTAACAGCAGCAATTCGCACGACGTCAGACCTCCAAAAAATCGGATAGCAACTTCCTGCAGCTTGAGCTCAGATTTTAAGCACTCGGTGATCGACGGTCTGGCGTCACTTACAATGACAGAGAGGGAAATATTGCGTAAACGAGGCATTGGACACTTAGCCAGGAGCACATCCAATTGTCCAAGATTGATTGGTTGTTTCATGATGTCCAAAGTAGTCAGGTTGATGAGTCCAGTACCACCGGGGCCGGAAAGGGCGGATAAAATTTGAATTACGTTTTTTCCTCGATGGGCAGCGAAATTCATAGTGAAGATCTCGACTCCTTGGTGTGCATCTTGAAGTATGTCAAGCAGTTGTAGTTGCACTTGCCTATTGCAGACATCTGGCGTTAGTCCAAGGATTCGAGTGGTCAGGCGATCCCACGTAGGTATAAGGCTCTTGCAATTTAGACGGTCCTTCCTCGACAGATACCGACTAATCCCGGCAGACAGTATTGGATTCCAGAGGATCTAAATTCCAAACAGAAAATGGAAGACTGAGCCTATCAACAACAGTCACTTTTACTCTATACTTCCACCTATCATCATTTTCATTTCCATGAGACAGTTAGATGTCTTAGAGGAGGTGTGACATCTAGAAGTAATTCTTACTACTGATTGCAATTAATTGGATGCAACTTATCAAGTTTTCAACGCGAGACTGAGCAGTTTAGCTATCTGTGGACTTGCTCATAAACAGCCAGTCTCGTATTCCCAAGTAAAACATGCCTAAATAGTGGATATTACGGCCCCTGTTTTCCCGCAGCACTTATGTCATCCTTGATGCCACAAAATTGACAAAGGAGGGCGGTTGATATCACGTAGACTTTTATCTAACTGCAAATATTCAACCCGATTTAGGGGTTCACTAAAGTCAGATTGTTTTTTTAAAAGGACTGACCTTGTCTGGTATCACGAGTTGCGACATATCCTGCTCTTTGGTCTCCAGAATATCGTCTGGTTCACGTCTCGGAAATAGCAACAACCGTGCCTGTATGCATTGAGATTATTGGTTCACCTAGACATCTTTCTCTCAGCTGATTGGATTCATTTAAACCAATCGCGTCAAAGTCCACCGAACTGAATGCCGAGAGTCGTGGCAAAGAAGTAACAGGCAAATCTAACCAAAACGGAGGTTCGTTGTAGAGTTGGAGGAAATCAAGGGGATACGGGAAGTCGCTCGCTCAGCGATGTGTTAAATGAAAACGCAGCTGACATCATTTTCACGCCAAATTTCGCGCAAAAACCAGCGCTCAGGGCGCGAGGCCTGAAAACTGGGGGAGAGAAATGCGCCATTAGATGTCGTAGCGCAAATAACTAGGGAACGTCCTGCTCTACTAATTCACTTTCCTCTCCGCACTACATTACCTGCTATCGAATTAGTCAGATCTTCCTTTGGTCTCGACGGAAGCAGTCCCTAAAATTGTGTTCTGCGAAACCCTGCTGATCGCCAAATCTCAATCCACGGAAAACATCTTCTGTGCCCTATGTTGGAGGCTTCAATACAGTTCCCGCAGTCCACTAATTTACGAACTTCCAACAACGATTTCTCAGTGTCGTTTTAAAAAAAGCCATCTTGGTTTTTGATTAAGGAGGATGTTAAAAAGCATGTTTTTCGTTTTGGTTCTAAATCTGCTGAATGTTGCGTAACCTAGTGAGCATGGAACTTGTAGCGAACAATCCCTCCCATTCATGAAACGCCAATACTATTCTGCACTCTGTGAGCCCTTCCAACCACCACCTGCATTTGGGTGACGATTTTGCTGACCAACTCCGACTATCTTTGTTACTACGAGAAAATATGTGATATGTATTGTTTGTTGATCTTAGCCAAATGGCCGTTGTTTTGAAAATAGTGGCCTTTTCCGCTCTGTTATGCCTGTTTACATTTTGGCAGATGCAATTATGACTGAAAAATTTTTCCTTTTTGCTACGACCTTTTCAGAATGATTGTTTATTCGTATGTAGGCGAATTCATTTTTATTTAGGTCGAGACCGCTTACAAGGATTACTTTCCATGACACGTCGAGAGAGAGAACTCTGTCATTCCCCAGAACCGCCACGGACTATTTGCAGACGCCAATTGTGAATTGGCAATATTGGTGTCTATTTTCATCATCCAATCGGTGCCTGAACTATTGAAAACTGGTGCTCAGTTAAATATTAAGATTTCAGAAGCACTCATTTTTTCAGGTATTTTTTTGTAGAGGGTAAGATGAAAGAAATGTTCATTTCGTTAGAGCTCACGTAGGGGCAAATTTCTAGTATTGAAAAAAACGATGCGTTGAAAGATATCTTGTTTGAAGAAGGAGACACGATCGTTGGAACAAGAGCTAATAAACTTTATATATAATTAGCGTAGAAGTGGTAGGCATTCCTAGACGATATAATGAAAAGGAAAGAGGTTCTTCGGAAAAAATCGAGTTTTACTCGAGGAGGGATGCGGGTAGGGAGTCGTGCTGGGTTCTGAGCCGGGAGGGCAGGAAGGGGGGGGGAATCGTTACGGCTCCCCGTGTTGGAGGGGAGGGAGAATGGTAGGTTGGCAGAACTGCGGGCGCCTGGATTAGCGGCTGCTGATGCGCCGTGGGGCTCGGCTTAGTGAGGCGTGATCTTAGGCCCTCATGATGGGCGTCTAGGTCGACGTGGCGGTTGATGCTGTCCGCGTTAGAGTGCCATGCCTCGAGGAATTCTCTCGCCCGTTTTGTGTTGGCCGTGGCAATGGCCTCGGCGTTATCCCAGTTAAAACGGTGGTCGCACTGGAGTGCGTGTGCAAAGACGAGGGACAGTGGATCACGCGACGGACAGCTAGTTTGTCTTCATTAATACGAGTTCCCAGGCGTCGTCCTGTATGACCAACATATACGCAGGGACAATTGGCACACGGGATGCGATAGATGACGTTAGTCTGTTCCTCTTTGGGGATAGAAACCTTTACTCGAGTTAAGACTGTGCGCAGCGAGGATGCAGGCTTGTGGGAAACGCGGATACCGAACTGATTTAGCTGACGGGCGATCATTTCAGAGGTCCCCTGCATATAGGGCAGGGAGAAGAATTTCTGGGTCACGGTTTCTCCATCTGAGGAGGGGGCTCGAGGTTGTGCCTGACGCCTGAGGCAGTTCTTCACAAAACTGACCGGGTACTTGTTAGATCGAAATAGCCGATATAGATAACTTAGTTCTTTCTTCAGCAGATCGTCACTGCTGCAATAACGGTAGGCCCGATGGAGGAGAGTTCGGACGCAGCTTCTTTTGTGAGCCGCAGGGTGATTGCTTCCATAATTGAGGATGATCTCTGAATCAGACCCTTTTCTATGGACGCTGGTTGCGAGATTACCGTCGTCCAGCCTTTGTATTTTTACGTCCAGAAACGACAGACTGTCTCTGGAGTTCGTATACCAGAAACCGCTAGAGGACGCTGGGGGTCCCAC